CTAACTTCCATATTGGAACACGTTGCTGTGATATACGCGAAGCAAGGCTGATTTTTTGTAAACAGTATTCTATGCCAGTCAGAGCTTAATGATTACTGAAGCTTAATTAATGGGTACACTAAACACAGCCCAAGTGTTCAAAGTCATCAGACAAAAGCTTAAAGTTTTACATTCGCCTCGTTTCACACAATGAGATTCAAAATGCGTACCGTTCTTACTGATAACCAAAAAGTTAAATTCCCTCCTAAAATTCCTCAAAAAAAATTTTTAATTGTAGAAACACAAAGATTGGTCTCTCATTTGATAGTAACCCTGTAAATTCTGCTCCCGAGAAAATTTCCTAAGATGGAAGAAGCCTAATAAGCAGCAGAAAGAATAAATATCGAAGGAAAAAGCAACTTAGTTCGCGTTGAAAGGCAAGAAATACTCAAGCTTTTTTTTTCAGGCATAATTTAGGACTACGTAAAGAAGAAAACTACTTTTGTATAAAATCTGACTCCCAAGGTGTTTTGTAAAACTACTTCGTTTAAAAAAGTTTTTTTGTTGTTTAAAAAGCCTCGAGAATGGCAGTACTGAAAGTGCTGATCAGAAGGGAGATGCTTGACAAATGGTGGTTGAATACTCAGATAAGAAGATGGCAGAAGGCTTTTCAACAACTATGAGGAAATAATGCGGCACTTAGAAGTCAATCAGCCAGTCAGACCTTCAAATCGTCAATAGTGGTTATTGTTACTGTTCTGCATTTTTAATTGCCAATTCTAGTTACTCTTTCTATGCTTTTACATCATTATCCAGTCAATAAGAATTAGGTTTGAGAATCTTTTCCTTGATGTATTTAATAATTACGCTACGTTTGAACTCGTAGACGCCGGCTTCATATCTTTATAAATTCTTTACTCGTTCGCTGTGAAAGTAAACTTTTGACTAAGCTTCTACTAAAAACTGGAGGTCAGAAAAACTTTGCTTAGCCTAGACAATTAAGAAAACATTTGGATCCAATTTTCTTCGAGGAATAAAAAAGTGGGGGAAATATATGGCACTTTTTTATGTTGCATTATACAAAAAAAGCAACAGAACAACTAACAGAATCGTTGGAATTTTATTTTCTTTTTCTGGCGTCGCTTAAGTTTTGCTTTCAAATTCACTTTTTTGTCATCGATACGAAGCAGTACCTTTTTAAATGGACTGGCTACGATAAAAGAGATGTTAATTTTATTGGTATTGTTCCATTTTTTCTAGCGAAGCTGAAAGAAATTACAGTATTGTTGAAGAGCGGTGATACACCACGTACTTCTCTGGAAAAGTTTGCACCGTAGTTGATCGTAAAAAACAGCTTAGATTAGAAACGTCAAATGCGACTTATTGCAGAGAGTTTTTACTGTCGTCTAAATCCCATAACAGCTCAAAATACTCAAAATAAAGTGGTCTGTACAAATGATTTCGGAAAAGTCAGTTAAACCTTTTGAATGCAACCAGTTGAGTTACTGAACTTCACTTCAACACAATTTATAGCTAAAAATTTACTTAACTGTTATATTTTTCAGATAAGTTGTACAAATAAAAGCTGTTCTCAGGTGTGCTAAATACTACTTTCCAGACTGCTATGAACAATTGTGATTACACTGCGAATTTTCTTTATTACATAACTTTTTTCTCTTACTTTTTTTCATGAGTGAAATGAAATCTATTTAATTCTTCCGATCTCCTTCATCCATTCCTTCTTCAAACATTATTTACTTGCTGGTTTAATTTACTTACATGATTTTATTGATAATCTTACTTTCCAATTTCTTCTTTGAAAGAACAGTCAAAAAAGGAAAAAAAAATTTAATTTTTTTTTTTGCCTTATTAGACCACTTTTCAACTTAGTTTACGAGAGAGTACTTGCTGCAAGCAGTTTCTTTTGTTGAGAAGAAGAAAACAAATTTTAAAGATTAACTAAATAACCACTTAGAGGAGTTTTTCAGATCTAGAAAAATGCAGTACAGGGAAGTATTGAAAACTATGACTAAATCAAGAACACAATTGCGATATTAAACCTGAACGTCAGTCAAAAAGATTTTTTTCAAGACTGTTTAGGAGCTATTACAAGATTTTTCAGTTGGTCTAATGCCAACCTTGAGAGAAGCTTTAGCAATAAATTTAACGCCAGAAGACATTCTAAGACCCGTTTTACGTTAGGATGATTAGTTATAACTTCAAAATATCTTTCGGGTGAAAGTTGAAATAGTCTGCATTTTGTGCACAGTGTAGCCGACATGTGTAAAATTGTCTAGAAAAGATAATGCTTGGTTGTTCTTCATGCAGCATAGCTCTTGCGTTAGAATGAAGTGCGAGCATTAATTGTAATCAAAACTAACAGGTCTTTAGACAAGAGTATCATATGCTTTCTGGTTGGTCAAACCTAATGTGCACTTTTATTTCTGTACATCTCAACAGACTCTCGTAACGCTGCTTTACTAGTTTCTTCAAGCACAGTTAGCAAAGAATTCCAAAGTTGAACGATTAATGCGGCAGCTACCGCTTCCGAGGAGCATATCAGTCAACCGTTTTAGATTCCCAAGTAACTATATGATCCAAGACCTA